ATGTTCTTTTGTTAGGTGAATGTAAACTCTTTTTTGGTGCTCCGTTCTCACATTTTTCCCTGTTATTAAAATGCTTACAGTGTTGTTTTTTGTATTGTTTTGTTTTTGTTAAATGTGGCTCATCCTTCTAAGTGTTGAGGTAGCATCTGTTTTCTGTTGTGTTAAGATTGCCACACAGCTAGCTATTTTTCTGCATTCATAAATATATGTTTACATCTGTATGATTATTTAAGAAGGATTTTTGTAGGTGTTTAATACATTAATAATCCTAAAAATTATGTGCTTGAGCATCGGCAAATCTGCTACAAATTAGGGAGCTGCCGTTCAGATTTCCCCACACTGCGCTGCCAAGTGGCCTCAATCAGAAGTAATTTTCTCCATGAAGGCACATGCAGTTCTCTCGTCAGCCTCTCTGCAGTAGATATTGTTATTTGTATCAAATTATATGTGATGATTTCTTCAAGCAGACTACTGTGCTCCCTAAGCCATACGTGTTTCTACCACATTCATTCCTACATTGCTGCCTCTAATTGTACAGTTTTCTGCTGCCTCTTGTTCATCGGTTGTATTTGGGGGAAAAAAAAATATTGTCACAGAAATAAATATTCATAAAATAGTATAAATACCAAGGAAAGAAATGAATGACTAAACCCCTCAGGATCTCCAGTGTTGTATACAATGCATGTGGTTGCTTGTTTCATAAAGAAACAGTTTTCTCACGATTTCTTAAGACATACAGAATGAAGTAGAGGAAACTTCATTTGCCTTCAGAAGCCCTGTATGGGATTAGAAATGAAGCTTTTTATGCAGTGCCTTTGAAAATTCTTAAATGTTTATCATGTGTGTAGCTAATCTAAAGCATTTCAGATTCACCTCTCCTTACATAACATCTAATTCTTTGTCTAACCACTTGCAGGAGCAGAATCATCAAAATGAGAATAGAAGAAAAGCATTTTGATGATCTCTCTGCAATTAACTGCTCCCCTAAACTCTTACACCATCCCAGTTTGAAACTGTACTGTTTTATCTTAGAGCCATTGACTGTCAGATCATTGTGACACTCAGATGTATTTCAGTGGCAGTAATTATTTGGATTTGCATTGCTCTGTCATCATGGCAGTGTTTTGTTGTAGTGTCAGACTTAATCAGCATTTTTCAGCAGAACAGGGATGATACCTTTAACATGTTCTAGCTTAAATTAAAGCAGATATAGTACATGTGTGCTTAATAGGTGCTTAATAATGCAGTCAGTATAAGTAATGGATATAAAAGTATTAAGTTAAATCAACAATTTAAAAGAAATACGGAAGGTAAAGTACTGCACTAAAGTAACTGATCAAGCTGTATTTGGGAGGTAGTAGACCAACACTATAACAACTGGACAGAAACCAACAGTATCAGAGGAAACAGCTGAAAAAGAAGCCGGTATTTTTAAAAGCTTTTTTATTTTCCTATATAACTCTGTATTTTTAAATATTTTGTGTCAGTCAAGAAGTTGAGCAGGCACTGCACAGATTGTCCTCTAGAGAAAAGTGTTAGTAACTTTGAAAACTCACTTTTATGTTTTTGAACCAGAGAAGAAGTTGATGCCTTGGGTGATTTGCTGTACAGATAGCAGGCAGATCCTGATTGAAACACACGGCCAAATTAGGTAGACATAAGCTTGCAAACTTTGTATTTGCATTAGTCAGAAATATGTAGTTCCAGTAAATTTTTATTGTGAGATTCTGACTATTAATTTTTATTCAAATTTAGTGTCTGTTTATGTGCAAATAATTAGTTGGAATAGTCAAGAATGGAAAGTTTAATCTGTTTATATTGACTAGTAGATGGCTTTTGATTTTACTGTTTTCTTCAACCCATTTTTGTGTTTGAGTGATAATGATAACCACAGAAATCAGGCATAAATATTTCAGTTTACATGAAACTAACAACCAAGAAGTACTTAATTTTGCTATTATCCTTGTGGTCTAATCTTAATCATGTAGAATAATGGTTTTTCCTTCAGTTAGTTCCATAGAAGTCATCAGTTTATAGGTCTGAACATGAGCTGCGTGAATTTGGATGCTTACAAGATAGAAGGCAGCTCAGCAGGAATAAGACAGAGTGTGTGAATTAGACAAGGCAGCTGCAACATGAAACCTAGAAAAATATTTCTGCGCTGATCCCTTGATTGCAGCAAGCCTTGCTGCTTTTCATAATGCAGCATCTGATGTCAGCTGCTGAGCAGCTCTTATGAAGAGCTCTGTATGATCGCTGCTCATACAGTACTGGGTAGACATCGTTGTTTGTGCACATGGGCTGCCATATGCAGAGTAAAACTTGGTATAGGTGGATGCATTCATCACATCTCATTGAGATCTGACAAAATCTACATTTGTGCTTGCAAATGCTAAAAGATTTAACATTAGAAAGTGTTAAATACCTATTCAAACCTATAATTTGGTTATAAGAGCATTTGCTAAGAATTTTTTTAGCCTTAGATTGGTTTAAAAAAACAAACTAGGCAAGTTTTTGAAGCTTTGAGTGGGTTTGTACTTTGTTCCCCTTTTGCTTTCTTAGAAACAATGTCAGTGGAAATTTTAAGATGTGTGTTTCCATGCAAATGAAAGCACACCCACTGGACTTCTGTCATACTCTGGGTCAGTGAGCAGTTCTCAATTGTTAGCTTGCTGAATATGTCCGAGTGGCCTGAGCAAACAAACTGGTTTAATATCTGGGAACACACTGGAATGCCTTACACATGTGCCAACTGGATTGCTTGCACATACTTATTCTGACTTTCACAAAGCACTGATTGGAAAAAGTCAAATGACAAAGAACCAGTCTTTCAGGGGGAGGTCAGCTTTAACTGAAGTGTGAAGGTTGTGCTTTATAAACACAAAAATGAAACTTATATCTTTCCCCCATATTTATGTGAACAATTTTTGAAGGAATACACCTGGCAGAAATTGCCATTTCCCTAAAAGAGTTCAGTTGTTTGTTTCACTGTGTTTCTCATTTCCAGTTTACTTATATAGATGCTACTAGGAGTACACGCCAATAAATGGCTCAACATTGTCACATATTAATAAAATCATGAGATCTGGGAGGTATTTTTGATAGGTATTTGAGTAACCCTTATGCTTTCATTTCTGAGATGGAACTGGACACGTGAGGTGCCCAAACTGCCCATATTAAATGCGGTGCATTGCTCATGGCTCTTCCAGCGCGTGCTCCTGCTTCGTTCTCAGTTCCATACACTGTGACAGCCACTCTTCATTCCATGTGCATATTCAAGTGCCGGACTTTTTCCCAACATGCCTAGAAAGAGCAATTAACAGTAATGGATACTTTGACAGTGAGAATCTTTATTTCTTCAGCCATAATAAGAGCCCCTTATTCTAGGAGATATATTGTTGAATGATGGCTTGCATTGGTGAGTGTGAATCCACGTAAGTGGGTTCATTTGGTCAGATTCTCAGCTGGCATAAATAGTCATATTTCCGTGGAAGGTAGTAAGCTATATTAATTAATGGAATGCCAGCTGGGAATCTCAATCAATTTCAATAAAAGGTAACCATCATATTCCTCTGAAGCAAGAATTGCACAACATAGTCTAAAGTGAATTTTGCTGTTTTAATAAATGTAGGTAGTCCCTGGTTAATAATAAATTACATAAAATTAGAGTGTAGTCAATGTTTGATTTCTTTTAAAAATTTATCCCTCCTTTTTCATCAAGTGCAACAGAATCATTTATGTATTGTATCTCAGCATGATAGATTATATAGGAATAGTGTATTTAATACCGGAAAACTATCATATAAATACAAATTACATTTTTTTTCATTAGCCAGCTAGCTTTCATTTCAAGGAAGAAATACACAGTCAATTATAAATGAGGCCGTGCTTTCATTGGAGAGGGAAATAAGTAATTTTTTTTCAAGCCTCAACCACGTATAATGAAATCCCTCTTTTGAAATCCAGTCTTAAGATGGATTTTGAAACATACTGACATTTAATAAAATCTTAGTTAAATTAAAATATGTTCAATTATTTCAAATCTCTACTTAAATCTGTGGGTAAATTCTACACCTGCACGTGAGATGAATTTAGAAAATAGTTACTATTAACCAATGACTGCTTACTGCGTATAAGAAGGAAGAAATTCTGATTCTCGAAAACATTCCGGCTGGCAGCCAGGGCGTTACGTGTTACAGACCTGTCAGACATGGCTCTTCAGGAGGCTCTGTAGGAATGGGATGTCTCGGTAACTAGCAGAGTCTGAGACCTTGGGCTGCTGTGTCACATTGAGGCTCACGCTCTCCTCCTGGGGCTGCTGTGTGCCAGTGTTGCCCTTCAGTGTAGAGCAGCACACCGGGTGTTTCTGTAAAGTGAAATGCAGTGTTTGTCCGAGTCCTGCCCAGTGACTGGTAGTCTGTTATAGAGTGTTGCAAATGAATGTACACAGGGAATATGAAACTCTTTTTAAACTCCATCAGGTGCTCCTTGAAGGAAAACAGCTGAAGCTGAAGTTGATACTATCAATACCTTTGTATTAATTTGCTATCGTCAGTTCTGCTAACTCTGGAAGTGAAGCTTGTGAAGGGAGCCTATTAAGTACTGTAATTCAGCATCAAAAAACAATGACTTACAAACAACAAGAGAAGGCTCTTCACTGCTTACATGGTTTTACAAATGCAGCTTTGATTTCCATTGTTAAAACTGTCTGCTGTTAATACTGCAGCCTGATGAATAATGAAAAGAGAGATGTGCGAGCATTATTAATACATATTGTTAATAACACTTTGCATATTCTGATTTGAAGTCCTCACTTAGGAAAACAGTCACTCCTAATTTCAGTTCCCATTAACTATTATTTGGTCAATTCTCGTAAATGCTGAACCCAGCAAGTGGAAGGAAGAACTAGATAAAGACCACCAGTTCTAAGTTTGCTAAGGTTTTATTTCACGTTGTCCTTTTAGATGGTTTTGCCACAGTGTTCCTGATTCTTTTTAAAGGGCCCCTCGAGGATGCCATTGAGGATGAAGAAGAAGAGTGCCTGTCTGAGGAAAATGATACTGTCTCAAAAGAAGACTTTCCATTGGAGGAAAGCTTTTCTACAGAGTTTGAGCCTGAAAATCTGAGCTGTGAAGAAGTGGAATACTTTTGTAATAAAGGTAATCATTGTAGCCCACCTCTTGAGGGAATTCTGGCAGAACTGTGTCCAATTGGTCAAAAAGATTTTTTTGGTTTAAAATGTATGAAAAGACAGGAAAATAGTGACTTGTGGAGTTTAGCCTGCTAAGGGGTAAATATTTAAATGTGATGGAAGATTTACTTTGCAGGGAGGTGAATCGTCTCGCTTTTAATGTTTTCCTCCAAGAATGTTATTTTCTATGTATTTAACTGTAGAGAACAGGCCTCAGAAGTCACTTATTATCAGATATGAAGCAAGCAATGCAGCATGTCTGTTCGTTGCTCCTTTGCCTAGGAAACATTGCTAGAAAAACAGATTGTGCCTGTAGATTCTAGGATTAAAATAGAGCTTATTATAGAACTTATTATGCATGGTAGAAAAGTAGTGATTTGTGAAAGGATAACTTTTAAAGTTGCAGATGCCTTTTTGATGCATTAGTTACTTGCAAATTGTTGAAGATACTTGTATTTTAGCATAAGCCACACCGGCTTATACTTACCCAACATTCAGTCTGCAAAGCTGTGCTGTTTCCAACTCAGCTGACAGAAAAAGCACACTGCCATGTACTCTTACATAGAACATTGTTTCAAACTTCTTCCTGCCAGATTTCCACTTGATTGCTTTGTTGTTTGTCTTCTGCAGGTAAGGATGCCTATCAAATAGCTGGAATTGTTGTGGTCATGTTCTTCTTAGTCACCCTCAGGCAATTGGATATCAATGGTTTCTCTGTATTTCCATTCTTTCCCAGATATTGACATACATTTTCTCATGATATGCTTAATATGCTCCTATATTTGTTTGTTTGTTTCTTTTTTAATACCTATTATTTTTGACTCTCATGGACAAAGTATAATTAATCTATTTGAAGAGTCATATTTGACTACTAGATATTAGTCCTTACTACAGTCTTTATAGTCTTTCATCTGCAGGGAAGATGTCATCACTTATTTTCTACATGTCCTCTAATGTAGTATACAAACTTCTGAAAAGATCTTGTACTTTTTGCACTAGTGGCTCCTGATACTCAGTAAGAAGAGATCCTGAGAATTAAAAGAGTTGAGTCCATAGTTTACTGTAGCTGCTACAAAGCTTACTCTAAAGTATGAGTGTCCAGGATATAAATAGAATTTATAAATAGAATGTATATGCTTTACAAACAGGGGAAGTTAAATGGCATAATAACAGATACCATTTTGCTTAGCTGAATAAGAGAACTATTCCTGTTACTGGCATTACTAGTTTAAATAACTATTTGCATAATCGTTATACCAACATCTCTTGAATTCCGTATATTAGCAGTGGAAGACTGAGCACTACTCTCAGTTCATAACAATTTGGTTCAGTTATTTCTCTGTGCTGCTTGCTGTATTTTCAGAGGTTACTAGTGAAATTACTCTTGATTTAGGGTGGAATTCAGAAAAATGCATTCTTTCTTTCTTTCTTCATAGCAATCATTATTGCAAATTTGTGTTGAATTTCAAGTAATCTTTACAAGTATTCTTCAAATATTCTTTCCTTCAGTGAAGCTTTCAAGGAAAATGCTGAATCCATGGCATGGTATTGAACAAGATCAATATAGGGTGGGAATACACTTAAACCTGAATCTTAATTATCATATATTTTATTAAGGACATCTGTTGATTCTTCAGGCTGAATACCTTTTGATTGCCCAGCAGTTCTTTTTTCAAGTGTGTTGTAGTTATAAAAGAATCTTAAACCTATCCACTGCAACTGCTGCAGAAGAAAAGTTGAAAAGGAAATTTCTGAGGATGAAGGGGCACATAAAACCCCTAATCTACTTCCAGCTGAGGCAGCGTGACAGAAATTCCCACTTTGAAGTAAGTTGAAAATATCCCTGGAAAAGGATGGAATGGGAGATGAGAAATGTATTGTTTTTAATAATATGTTGGCTTCTGGTGAACGCCCTGCTTCTGCCGTGTCACGTCCGAATTACTGTTATTACGTGGCCATGTACGTTTTTTGGAGGACAAAATGCAAGTAGGCAAAACTGATCTGGAAAGAAAATAAATTTATGTTGTGTCCTTTCTTTGGTTCTTTTGTGGCTGTATTAAACAGTAAATATTAAGCATGAGACTAATTCTCATGACTCTTGTGATGATTTGGGAATCACTTATAAGCTTTCTTTTAATGCTTCAATATTGAAATTAAAAGCTGAAATAAGAAATCAACTTACTTTTCCAAAAAATAATTTTTCTTTAACTTCATCGGTAGTTTCTTCTTTCTAAAAACATTTTTTCTTTAACATTATGAGCAGCAACTTGAAAATGATAGTATTTATCTAATAGGTTAGAGTGGAGAGCAAACAAATGTATTTTAATTTCTTTTTTGAGTGCTGACTTCCTAATGTGTATTTCACTCTTTGATGGTATCAGCATCCTGTAAAACAGATATCTTCAAAGGAGGGAAAATAAATGTGGGTCTGGGTCTCCTTATGCTTCCTCCACAGAAAATAAAGGGATGTGCTTGGGAATCCTTTGTGCTGTCTCTGCATTCTCCTCTTGCTATTGTGGACCATTAACGATTTTAGAAATCAGGGATTTGTTCAGTGTTCATCAGTCCTGGCTCCCTGTTTCCGTCCCCTGTGATTTCTTCATAGAGGGCGGATGAACTGAGGAGGATTCCTGCAGGAATCTGGAGATGTGGGCAACAAATGGTACCACTGCTGAGGAGGAGGTGTGTGCAAGGCTCACCATGGGATGTTTTTCATGCTTCCCCAGCTGTCTAAATGCAAGCATCGTCTGAGAACAAAGGCTTTTAACTGGAAAAACAGAGTACTGAAAGTAAAGATTTACCAAACTATCCATTCAGGTGAATGAAAGTAGATGTACAAATTCACAATATGATATTTTTGGCTTTCTGACTGAAGAGATTTTCTTGTTAAATTTGCCTGATTTTATTATAAGCAGAGAACAGTCTCTTATTGTCTCAATTGTAAACAACTAACCTTTATAAAGCCATACTTGTCATTCCCACCTTATTAATTTGGGTTTGTGAAATTGATTCAGCAGAATAGTTGCCAGAATTAGAAAGCAAAGGCAAAAGCTTCTGCAAAGTGTGAAGCAAATTAATCACACTGATTGAGCTACATGTCATTTTACAACTTCTCTGTTTTCAAAGTTAGGACTTCTGACTATTATTTTTCTCTTTTCCTTTTGTTAATTACTGGCTTTTATAGTAAGGAATCTGAAATATTCCACTGCCATCACCACTTTGGCAACCCCACAAAAAACCAGTTTGATTTGCTACATGTGAATAATTGTTCCTATATTTCTACACGTACATTCAAATGTGAAGAAGTGTACAGTATTTAAGCATATAAATACTAAAAGCAAAAATGAACACTAACAACCTACTGTTTATCAGGTATAACTTAAAGCTTGAAGCAGTGAATTTTCATCCTTTTGGATCACATCGAAGAGTGAATATTTTAGAAGATGACATTGTTTAAAACGGGATTTAGAATCTGATTTGTTTGCTATTTTGATGGCCTAAGAGAAAGAATATTTTTGAAAGACATGATAAAGTAGTCATGAGTAGTCATCGTGCACTTAGATTAGAAAGCTCCAGTGTTCTTACTCTTTGGAGTAGAAACTAAAAATGTAGTGGGACTTAGCACTGCTGAAGATGAATTGCATTTTGTCAGTGTGGGGCCTTTGAAAATTGCTGTTTATGCAGTGCCTACACTTCAGATAAAGAGGGTATCTGATGATGCTGCCCACACAAAGTCTGTATCATCCTGGAATCTCTGTTCCTGAAGATTTCTTTCTCTGCAGTGCCCAATAGTCACTATCTAGAGTCAGAATCTGTATCAGATTAAGATCAGTTCAGATTAAAATCAGATCTAGAAGATGTATTGAATTAGCCTCAGGATGTGTACTATACTTAGGCAAAGATGCTCTAGATAAGGAGAGAGCAGCCTGTCTCCTGTGCAGAAGTGATAGACGAGATGATAGGCTCTTATAGCTAGGAATGGGAGAATGAGGTGATGCTAACAAAGAGAAGAGGAGTGAACTGGGTTCATGATAGGACTAATGAAAACAGAAGGGGAGACACAAGAAGGAAGTACAAACAGTAGAGCAGTACAAAAGGCAAGAAGTTAGAGATTGTGATACAAAAAGCATAGCACTAAATTGAGTTCCTTTGGACTGTGAAGTAGTTTATCAGTGGCTTTTTACTCTCAGATTGCTATCATCCTACCTAGGTACCCTCAGGTCAAATAAAAAACGTTCTCATCTGTTACTCTGTAAGTTTGCCATACTCATATTACTCACATAGTTATGACGCCTCTTCCTTTGTAAGCAGCAAAAACAATAGGAGCCCTGCCCACTTCTTAAGGGTGAGAACTGGATAAATAAATAACAATTCCTTCTGACAAATTACAATTCCTTAGCAGGAGTGTTCAGTGAGGGATTAACTTTCAAGGGAAAAGTTATCTTGAGCAGTGAGAGAGATCACTTGAGATTAGTAGATGGTTAAGTAGCTGTGTTCAGAGAAGGAATTTGGCAAGAGAAGAGAATGGAGGAAGGATTGTAACAGAAACAAAATCTGGGGCTGCTTTTGGGAGAAAGAAGCAAACAGCAGAATATACATAGGTTGCTCTGAAAGTAATGCCTCCTATTTATTTCCATGGAAACTACAGTGGATCAAAAGACCACAATAATACTGTGTGATAGAGCAAATTCTCAGTAACAAAATGCTATTTTTCAATATAGTCACCACCATTAGCTGTGCATTTTTGCCAGGGATGAAGAAGATGTTTCATGCTGTGCTCATAAAAATCTGTGCCAGCAGAGGTGATGAGGATGGACTGTTTCATGTTGCAGTGCTTGAAGGTTCTGTAGCACAAACTGATTTTGGTGAGAACTCAGGGAATAAATAGGACTCTGAGTACTGAGTATGGACCTTCTGCTTTAATCTGATATTCTGTTTGGGATGGTGGGGATGAACTCAGGACCAGGT